AAAATTTTGGCACAAAAAGGACAAGGACTTCCAAAGCAATGAAAAAAGTTTAGGTTTCAAAACAAAAAGAAGCAGAACATAGTTTTATAACCAAAACAAAAAGTGGAAAATGACTTATGACTTGATCATAAAACTAGGAAATCTAACCTATTCACGCCGTTAAGTATCGTCATTGACATGATACAAAAACAAAGAACAAAGGAAATATTTTCATTAAAAAGATGAGCATGTTAATAGCTTAGAAAAGATGCTATTTAATAAGCTAAGGACAAACTCGTAGTAGAACAAGGAAGCATGCAAGCTTGAACTTAATGCAGAAACACAACTAACAGCAAATCATTCCTAACATCACAACATCTCAACAACTAACCTAGAACTAAAACTAAGCTAAACAACCTAACAAGCAAACTAAAAACACAAAAACAACCTTAACAAACTAATGTACAAGATAGATCAATAACCAAAATATCCAATATCAAAGCAAAAAGAGAGAGATACTCCCTTAGTATTATCATCTGAGCAATCATCACCGGTAGGTCGGGAAGAAGAGGGTAGATTGACCATAAGCTTATCGGGGAGAGAAGGTGCTCCATCACCGTATAACTTCTTTAGAAACTCACATGTTGCATGTTGAGTAGCCAAGAAAAGCTTGTACTCATGCCTTAGTCACCACTCATCGGGTCTCGGGATTCGAAACGGTAATGGGAGAGTCTTCCTCCCGAACGATCGAATATCCCCAAACTCTTCTTAGGGATGTGACTGGCTTTTTGAACGTTACTACATCCACATCGTCGACCTCCACTCCCGCCTGCAAGCATAACTCTGTTATTAATCCAGAAAAAACAAGTGGACCTACCATTTTCTCCGAGCAACTCCGAACCTCGTTTCTTATGAGTTTTCCAAAATTGAACTCAATGCCCTTCATTAGAATGTAGAACATCATCACCCTATTCTGCTTAATGGAGGAATCATGGGAAGTGGGGATCAACCTATTCTTCACCACATATGTGCAAACCGTTGCTTGTTCATTGATGTCAAAGGGCTTTAGGGAAAGCTTCCCTATTGTTGAAATGGTCCATGTCTTGTGTGGTCTACAAATAATTCGACGTGCTTCCTCCACTTGCTCATCTGATGGATGCACCAAAACTTCATTGCCTACGACATTAAATACATCCAACAAACCATAGTGAGTGTTAATAATGGAAGACAAAAATTTACCACTTTACCCCTTACTCTCACTACGTTTCCTCAATTGGGATTGATGGCAACATAAAATTCTTTTACCAAGGTTTCTGATACATGCGTACGTGGGGCAAACAACGTCTCCCAACCATTATCCGCAAGTCGTCTTTTGACCTATTTTGGCATGGGCTCTTGTGCTTCATCAAAGCCCTTCTCAACTAGGATCTCACATGTTGTGAAGTCAGGCTTTTTCACTTCCAACCTCACCCTTTTTGCCTTGGATGGTGTTTGTTCAATAGAAGTGGGCTCTTCGTCATTGGCCTCCTCAAGTGGCTCGTCTACCTCTCTTAGCACCCTAGCCCTCTTGGCTTTGGACCAGCCTCGACCTCTTTTTGGGCAACCAAACGTGCTACAACAGCTTGGGTTCTTGGCCTTAAAATTGCACCAGACGTAATTTCAGCCGAAATTTTCTTCTTTCTCGTTTTCTTCACCCCTTTGGTCAAGCACACGTCTTC